AAAAAAACAAACAAACAAAATCATATGAACGATCGTCTCGCTCTCTCCGACTGCTGCTCTGCTCCGTCTCTCCCGTCTCTCTCGCTCTACTCTATAAATATTAACATAAATATTACGAATATAAGAGTTGTAAGTGGGCTATCATTTATAATTGGTATAAGAATCCTCGAAATATATTCTATCATTTATAACTGGACACATTATATGTTAAAATCTGAGATTAATTAGGTTTTCACAAAAATCAAACATGTATAAATATATTCTACCCCTTAAAATTTGAGCCGACCATAATAACTTGCCGCCATGGTTGGAGCATTTGAGTTGCCGGAGCAAACAATCCATCACATACAATCCTTCCTCACCGGAAAGGAAGCCGTCCGGTCATCAGTTCTCTCCAAATCGTGGCACCGCGCTTGGACCACTCGCCCAAACCTCGACTTCGATGAAGATGATTTCAGGCATGAGGACAATTATTCCAACCCCATCAACTTCGACGAATTCTTAAAATTCGTGAACAAGACTATTAAGAGATACGAAGAAATGAAACTAAAGATCGATGGTCTTCGGCTCCGTGTAAACTCCTCGTCGGTTCTTCCCAAAAAATTGATCCCACAAGCGCTTCGTATGGGCGCGACTCGTCTCGATATTGGTGGAGGTTTTGTTGTGCCGAACGTGGTGTTTAAAGCTGAGAACCTTGTCCGATTATCCGTGGACGATTGCAAAATCAAACGACACCGGGTTCGAGTCGTAAAATATCCTCGGCTTGAATCCCTTAGCTTAACCAACGTCGAAATCAGTTCCAGTGTGATTTGTAGGATAATCTCCGGCTGCCCCTCCATCAAGACATTGTCGCTCACGAATCTATTGTCATCATCAGGTAGATTGTATTGTCATGGGTTGGCTGTTGAAGGTAGAATCTGTTGTCATGCGCTCACGACTCTCGTGCTTTGCAATGTGTTCTTCTGTGGTGACGACCTGTTTTCTGAATTTCCTTCCCTCAAGGATTTGACCCTACATGATCTTATGACAGACTTGAAAGAGATAAGAGTTTCGAGCCGTTCGCTCGAGTGTTTGAAATTGGTTTCCTTCCCAGGTAGTTCGCTTTATCATACATTCAAGTTGGACGTACCAAGTCTCCGCAGGTTTACGTTTGATGGTTACCTCTCTCAACGCATGACTTTTGCATCGGCTTCAAGGAATCTGGTGTCCTGCTTAACATTAATAGAAGAAGGTCACTTGAGCACCACATTGTTCAAAAAGTTGGGTAATTTTCTAACGGAGTTGGGGCAGTCGGAAGTTCATCTCTGTCTCCATCTCTACTTACGAACCATATTGAATTATGTGCCGGGCGACTTTGAAGGTTTGCCGAAACATGAGGTGGCTAATTTCACGATAGACGTGTATGATATGTCGTTTATAAATTGTTACATTCTTTTTGACGGTTTGTTTCGGATTATCCGCCCAAAGTTCGTGAAGCACTACCTACATCCCACGTCAACTAGTGAGAACACCAACAATGATTTTCTTGGAAAGAGACTTCTTGATGGAGTGAACGGGAGTATATGCTCGATCGAGAGCCATTTTATGCGTAGTGTGCATGATCTTAAGGAAGTAAATGTGCAGCTTTTTGATGAAGATGCTTCTGAGTGGACTACCATTTCATGGGACTCATTTTTTGATGCTTCCACAAGCACAAATCGTAAGCAACAAGTTCGTTTTCAATTGGAATGGAAACCGTAGCTTAGTACGTCACAGTGTACACAGAAATAGCTTTCTGCAAGTGTGATTCTTGAATGGAAAATTGTTTTCGTCTTTAGTGTTTCCTTGTTTCTAGTGGCATGCACTCTCTACTCATGTGAAACTTTGATATGAAATCAACTGCTTGGAGCAGGCAACAAAGTAACAATATGTATGATTGCTTGTAAACTAATTACCTAGGTGAATGTCAAACACTAACTATTAATTTGGTATTTAATTAAGGTAAATTAGTTTTGGCAAAAATTCTCCCCTCCCTTGTGTTTTGAATTTTAATCATATTTTTCCAATTTTAGCAATTAAAGGCAACAATTTCTATATTCTTACAAATCAAATCATGTTGGTCATTTTTTGTGTCGGAAAGATGACATGGCATGCTACAAAAATCTACGTGGTTTTGAGTAAAAAAATTCAAAAGAAAAAGTAAGAAAAACCCAAGAAGAAAAAAATTCATGGGCAAATGTTAAATGTGCCAACAAAAATGGAAAAAATTATGAAGCTATTCAATGCATTGAAATATTATAAAAATGAAGAGCCGTCGAAATGGATGTTGATGGGCATGTTGAGTATAGGACGAAGGACGAAGCTGTGCGAGAGTGCGGGTCCTAGGCGCTAGACGTTGCGCCACCTCTCCCCCCGGAATTGGTTGTGGGCGTCATAGCCTTCCCTTTCTCGGCCATGGAGGCGTCGGTGTTGGATCACCGGCGTTGCTAGTCGGATCGCTTCCCCCCTCCAGCATTTAAATCCTTCTGGGCTGTGAATTGATTTATCGTCAAATCTGTCCAAGCGGCTCGAGTGATCGCATTTTTTAGCTTTGGGGTTCGAATTTGCAACTCTCTTGGGATTTTGTGCTGAACAGCGTGGTTCGTGTGTCGGTTCGGGCATAAATGTGGTGTGCTAGCTTGGATGTAAGGAAGGTTTTATTCTATCTATTTATCATGTGTGTGTTGTTGACTTTCTGTTTTGTTGTTGTGTGTAGTATCAGTCTAGCTTCTTCTTGTTTCTAGTTTTCTTAATGGAGTTGTTTATTAGGCTCCTTTATAAAGTTTTTTGTTGTGTGGATGTAAGTACCCCTTGGTTGTATGTATAATTTTAAAGGAGTTGGTCTTTGTACCAAAAAAAAAAAAAAAGGAGTTGGTCTAGACTTAGTTTTGGTCGTAATGGTGCCATTTCACACTTCTCGGGTGGACTCAATTTGAGTTTTCAACTATTAATATAATTATAGTTTTTTTTATACAACGATAGATATAATATAATATAATTATAATTTGGCCAAAAAAAAAAAATGTTCCAACTTAGCAAAATTTTAGGTACCAAAAATTTCAAAATTTCACAAGAAAATTGAATTTAAATATACATAAAAAATACACAATCAAAAATGATTAAAATTTACTTGTAGGCCGTAGCAAGAGGCCAAAATATTTAACTTAAAAAAAAATAAGTAATGTCTTGCGTCGCGCAACCAACCAAAAAAAATTCACGTGCACTCTAAAGGAATATCGTCGGTTTTCCAGTATAACATCAAATATTATTTTCCAGATATTTTTTATATTTTATAAAACTAAAATAAATTTGATTAAATACGATTGACAAAAACATATTTGGTCGAATATTTTATCCAAACTAAGTTAAAATCTACAAATTCATATCCCAAAAAATTATTGAAAAAGAAAAAAAAAAATAAACAATAGTACAAGTTAGAGTTTGTTGAGGGTATATATTGTGGTTTAAATAAAATATATATAAATATAAGATGGCGGACAGATACAAGCTGTTGTAAAAAATCCCAAAACAAATTTGGTTATAGGGTTTTGAAGGGACGATGGCCAGGCGCCGGCGCCGGCGCGGCGAGTTTTTCTTATCTGAACCAATAATCCGTCGCATACAATCTTTTCTCAATGGAAGAGAAGCTGCCCAAACGACTGTCCTGTCTAAATCTTGGCGCCAAGCTTGGCTCACTCGCCCCAACTTGGACTTCGATTTCTCCCAACTTTCAATTGTTGTTGAAGTTTCAGAGTTAATGGACAAGACTATTCGAAGGTACGAAGAATCGAACCTAAAGATTGAGAGTTTGAGTCTAATAATGGGTTCTTCGAATTGTTTATGTGAAGATCTGATTATTAAAGCACTTAGAATGGGTGTTACTCGTCTTAGCCTTCAATTATCGAATGAAAACGGTTGCGATCAAGTGCTGGCCGAGGTGCTTGGATCTGAACACCTTGTTGAATTATCTCTGCAAGGTTGCAGAATTGCCCCAAGTCCGGAGCATAAGATAGGATGTTCGAGGCTCAAATCACTCAGTTTGAGCGAGTTCAAGTTAGAAAGTGATGAAGTGATTTTTGGCTTACTTTCTGGATGCCCTTTGCTCGAAAACCTGTCGCTCACAGGATTCGTCCATGGTACCGTAAGTCTTCCTAACTTGCCGAACTTGCCGAAGCTTAAGCGTCTGGAGCTGAGGTATCTGAGAATTAATTCCTCGTTTTTGGGTGACTTGTCTTGTAAATTTCCATTGCTGAGAAGTTTCGCCTTTCGGTGTTTCTATTTGGAATCTGATTTAGTCATTTCCAGCCCCTCAATCGAGCATTTAGACATCGAAACAGAGAGGATTTTGGGGCCAGTAAGGTTGGAGTTTGATGTTCCGAGTATTCGCAAGTTTGAGTTTAAAAGCTGGGAGAATCTGCCACCTTCTTCCCTGTCTTTTAAATCAACAAGTTTAAGAGAATGGGAGTCTCATTTATACATAAAGTCGCATTGTTGTGTTGGTACTGTGGGTGTCATTGGGTTGAACAAATTATTAACCAGTTTAGGACAGTCCAAAATTCATCTCTGGATAGAAGTATACAAATACAACAGCGAACGTAGCTTCAATTATGACGTGTGGGAGTTCAATGGCTTGACATTGCACCAAGTCGAGGAGTTGACGATAGATGGGATGGACTGCAAAGTTCCGTCTTTGACTAATTTTGCTCTTTTTGATGGTTTGTTTCGGTTGTGCCGCCCAAAGTTGATCACTCAGCAGAATCAGGCTTCTTACCAGAGTGATTTCCTTTTTAAGACATTTCTCAGACACGGGACAAATCACGTATGCTCGGCTAGGAGCCTTTGTATGTATGGTTTACGGCAGCTTGAGGAAGTAAGAGGTCAGATTTTTTATGAAGATGTTGACACTTGGCGGCTAATTCCATTGGATGCCTGGGATGCTTTTAAGGAGCACAAGAAAATCCGGTTCCAATTGAGGTGGAGAGAAGAAGAAAGCCAGCAGGTTAATTAAGATTAATGTTATTGTGCCTTTCATTGATCTTGTTAATTTATTTGCTTATTTCCATCTTTTTTGTTCAATTCAATAAAAAAAGCTAGGTTGTGCAACTATTTTTCGATCATGAGGTAGGCGACTTTGAAGGTGTAGTACCCAAACATGAGATGGATAATTTCACAAGAATGGTTTATCGTCTTTAATCTGTTATTTAAGTTTTGTGGTTTGCTTTTCATTTGCCGCTCAAAATTTGGTAACTCACTACCTACTTCTCGAGTCCAGTTTGCGAACACGAACAATGACTTTCTCCTGAAGAGACTTTGTTGAGACAATGAACGGGAAATTCTTGAGCCATCTTATGTGGTGTGTATCTTCTCAATGAAGTAAATATGCAGAAGTTTTATTTATTTATTTATTTTTTCTTTTGCGGTTGATGGTCCTGTGTGTACTCCATGGCCATGGGAGATGTTTTTGACGAGAACAAAACACAAGTCCAACTTATAAGAATGTTTTTGACGAGAACAAAACATAGGTCCAACTTATAAGAATTAATAATAGAATTTCCATTCCTCTCTTTTTCTAGGTAAAATATGGCAATAAACCGGTAGATTTTACATTAATTAAAAGTAATAAATATATTTTTTTAGCTATTATATCATATAATAATTACTATTAAAACTTATATGGAAGTTACATAAGTGTAAATGCATTATTTTTTTAATTTTTTTGGTAATACATTTACACTTGTGTTGTAACCAGTGTTATAAATACCGATATGTACCGGTCAGTATTACCGGTAATATCGGATATCGGTGGTCCAGCCGGTATGATTACCTTCAAAATATCGTTTTGGCCAAAATACCGGTTTATACCGGTTTCATACCGGAAAATATCAATTTTACCGGTCAAAATACCGGCTAAAATGCCGGGCATACCGGATTAAAAAAAGAAAAATTACAACGTATTTTAATTAAATTTATTTATAATAAAAGAAAGTTCTACACTTAATTTAATATATTTACATTGTTATTTGATTTTAGATAATTTTAGTATTTATTATAGTTAGTTTTATATATTATTTATATTATACTAATAGATTAATTTAATATTTATCAAAATCGGTAAAATAGACAGTAAAATCGGTTGTACTGGTTGAACTGCGTATCGTTGGTTCGTCCGGTATAGTCACCGGTACGGTATTTAAAAATTTGGTTGTAAGCAAAGTTGTCAACCAACTAAATAGCATTACTCTAATTTTACTAATGATCAAATTACAAAATGTGATACAATTATCTAGCTTATAATATTATATTATATATATATATATATAGGCATTGGTTTAAAGTGAGGACATGATGCTCATTTTTAGCAACAAGATTTGGTACATAATGTGGTCAAGATTCACTTTTTTCTTTTTCTTATTTTAATTATTTAAATATTATTTTGACCCGTTGATTCCGGCATTGACCGTTGACTTCTAATGAAATATGTTGACTTTCGGCGAAATCACGTTGGTCATTTTTTGTGTCGGAAAGATGACAAAGGCAAGCTACAAAAATAAAGGGGAAATTATATTGTAGGGCTTCATTTTTAGGTATTATATCATAATAGGACCTGAATTTTTTACTTTTTCATTTGAGGGCTTGAATTTTAAGTTATTCTCCATAAAAGGCTTACTTTTACATTTTAATTCTCAATTTAAGACTCCAACTAACTTTATATTTTTACATAAATATATAATCCAAATACTATTATTTTAATATTTATATTTTAAATAATTATGAATGTCTTTAGTAAAATTACTTTAGTATATTTTTCTAAATAGTTTATTATTTAATTTTATCACATATTTAGATTAAATTAAGTTAAAAATTTATTTTTTAACTTTTAAAATAACTTTCATTAAGCTTTTGTATAAATGTAAATTATGAAATAGTTATATTTTTAGGTAATTTCACTAAGATATTTAATATTTCTTTATTATATGTACTCCATTTTAAAAAAAAAAAATATTATGTTTTACATAATTTTGTTAAAATAAAAAGAAATTTAGAGACTTAAATTGAAAAGTAGAATGTAAAAGTATGTCTTATATTGAGAATAATTTAAAAATGAAACCCTCAAGTGAAAAGAATAAAAATATAGGCACTATCATTGGCGGATCTACATAGGGGCCCGTAGGGGCACGGGCCCCTGTAGAATTTGTAGTAAGTGTATTTATATATATATATATATA